ACTTATTACATTGGGTTTGAGCTTGATTAATGACCTCAATTATCATCGTCACTTCAGAAATATTTACAGGAAAGCGCTTCCTCTAAGTTGGTCACTCAGTAAACAATAGCAGCTCTTCAGCGATGCTCGTGGAGATGTCTCAAATTGTGTCGTTAAAATTGATAAATGCCCGCAATGATGGAATAAAGACTGTGCAATTCTCATCTAATTAAAATCACTCAATGTCCACATTTGCGCCGTTCTCACATGTCAAGCTTTCATGTCATTTATTCATACACAGCAAAGCAGCAGAGGCAGAGAGAAGTCTACCAAAACTCCCGCTGAAGAGTGCTGGATCTCTCGTCAGTTTTTAGTTAACGTCCACCGAGGGAACATTTCTGTGAAATTTTAAACATGTCTATCTGCACGTGCTTTCAGCATTTCCCCGGGGACTGATGTACCTATGAAGCAGAAGCCCAGAAGTTGCCCCATATGGAGAGCAGCAATGTTCCATGGTTGCTGCCGAATTAATCGTTACAAATTGCTTTATGCTTCCACTGATGTGTTTGTGTATCAATTGAGAGGGATTTTTCATGTCGTTCGGTGTGATTTTACGAGGATTTCCATGAATATTTCACCCATACTGAAAATCGGAACGAATGGTCGGAAGTTGAGGTGTTGGGATTTACGGCTATAATGGCAAATAGTCAAAGAGACGCGAATCGTTTCGATGGAATAAGCTAGAAAGCCAATTTACTCACGAAGATTTCTCAGAAGCGCTCAATAATGGGCTCGCACTATTGATATATAAGTGTCTACACTAGCAGATAAATTAATAGCACGCTGCAATTGTTGTATAAAAAGTGGAAAGAAAGACATTGCAGATCATTAATATCATTTGCATAAGATTTATACTACAACAGAGACTATGGATATTAACACTTTCAGTTATTCAAATGATATGTGCCAGACTTGTTGTCGCACCGCCGAACGGCAAGAAGAATAGTCAACAGTGGAGGAAAGAGAAGTGTGATATCGTAGACAAATTAAATTCAGCAATTTATATGGCAAAATGCTATCTTTATTCCGCCACAATCTTTTTTGCTAATGTTCTATTTCACTTCTCGTCCGTGTATGCAAATTCGCCACGTCGGATTATTTTGCTGACATGACCTAAAATTATGTTGATAATTCTAGAGATTACCAACCGATTTGTTTTCGCATTGAAGCTTTGTAGTTTTAACGGTAAGCTCTCGTATTTGACCAAAACTGGCGGAGCTTTTCAACGAAATAAACACTGAATGGCAGAGTGTTCAGCAAAAAAAAACGAGGAAGCAAATGAAGCTATAAATTTATTCAGTAATCTTGCTACTCGTATGATTTTTCTCAATTCTTAAATTTATTACAGCGCAGCTTTTTCTCCGGTTTATTCTGTGTTTTCCCGTCATTGACCGACCACATTTCACATGACTTGAGCTGCCTGACAAAGTGTGGGAATTTTGCAGACATCTCATGGACACACACTATTCTCGCCTCCACATGCATCCTTTCTGGCGCCTAAGGGCGAATCCTCGCACGCAGAGAGCGACTTCCTGGGATGAAATATGGCCCGGCGTCATCATCTGGCGAGCACGAGGCGCATAAGACCATCCCACATGCGTGCCAATTGTGCGTTGCACAAAATTTTGGCCCTCGGAGGAAATTCCCACCATCCCTTGTAATTAATGGTAATCTTCGCTGGGTGTGATTGCCCGGGCCACCATTTGCACGCTTTTTATTAGGGTTCACCCTAATATCTGCATATTTCTGGGTTTTTACGTCTCTAACGACCCAGCACTAAAATCCTGGCAAGCGCCAGGCAATTTTCTCCCAAAATGTACCAACCAAATTTGTGCATTTGCCATCCTTTGGCCAGATGCTGAAGGAATTGCGCACCTCTCTGGGAATCTACCTTGGGAAAATACGATGCACATGTGGTTTTTCGTATCTGCCAGACTGAGAAAGGGGCGTTCAACTGCCGAGGCGAAGCATGTTCAGCAGTGTTTTCAGTACAAGATCGACTGCCGTGAAGCGTGCACACATCGAAAAAAGCGTCTGAGAGTCACAAGAAAAACCTGAAGCACACATTCTCTGGGTTTTTATTCACTAAACCGCGAGAACACATAGCATTTGTGTTCTCTGCCGCACAATTCAAATTTCCCCGTGTCGCGAATGTGTGTCGTAAGTGATAATAAGAAAAAACATTCAACATGCGAAAGAGATTACAATCGTGCCAAATGACTTAACTGAGAAGAGAATCTACGCAAAGTTTAGCATTTAATTTTACATTTATTCGGTGCAACAGTTCCTCTAAATCATCTGCAACTAAACTATCTCAGTATTATACATAGTTTTTTCGTCTAGTCACTGGCAAGAGGTTAGACTTGTTGCGAGAAAAATCCATAGTGTGAATCAGTGCTCGCCAATTAAGTTTCGCTTCAGTGGAAGAACGCGCACAAGACATAATAAAAAAAAGACTACTGGAAAAAGACTGAATTCTTGTCATTGTTTGACGAGACTCTTTTTGCGATCATCAATTAACTTACCGGTAAGCCTAATTCATTCAAATACAGTCTCTCTCTCTCTCTCTCTCTATTGTATGCCTTGTTACTTCCTCGCCATTTACCGCGCTTCATATTATGTGTTAATATTGAATTGCTAATGTAAACACCGACTTCGCATGTGAAATTTCTTCTTTCTCCCAACCACATCGAATTGCTGATTTTGCGCGTGGTTGTGTGAATGGAACATGCGTGGAAAAAGAGATCTCCGACCACGAGATAAGCGTATTTGTACGTCTCTATTGCCACAAAAAAGTCCACCGGCAAAAATTACCGTTTGACATGGCAAAATCTGTCTGAAATTATATAGCATTTCTCACTTATTAGATGTATAATGAGCTTGCATTCCCACTACTCTTCACTACTTTATGCGCGACTGAAAAGATACTTTGGAAATCCACTGCTTATTGTGTATCTCCTTGGCGAATGTAAACAAATAAAGATAATGTGCAAAAGTGTACGTCATATCAACTGACGAGGCGCGATTTCGGTGAAATTTTGCGTCACGATTAATCACTATGTGTGGAGAAAAGATTTCGGAAACTACGATGAGATAAACCAAAATACCCTCAGGAAATTCCATTGCGTTGTCGGTGAGATTGATTCCAAATTACGCTGTATTTTCTAATCGACATATAATTGGGTATAAAGAACTAAGAAGCCCTAGCTGCAAGAAGAAGCCTTCTTCTTGGTATTTCTCTAAAAGGGAAACCTTTATTTCGGGTATTTCCAACAGCTGACAGCAATTATCACGTTCGGCTTGCGTTCAGCTGAGAAGAAAAATTAACACTTATCAACTAGAATTTCAAATAATCATCTCTCCGCCTAGAGAGTGTGTTCCCAATCTCGATTTTATTGCTATTCAAAGTAATTACTACATCTGAAAGATAGAGTGTTGATATCTCCAGGAACTCGTCGCCCATTTCTGGGAAAGTGTCACATTGTGATCTCAATAGTGTTTACCTCAGCAAATCATTCGCAAGTGCTTGCTAATTAGTAATGGGAATATTTAGTTTTTCCCCGCGACTTTTGTTTACCTTCTTCTGTTGATAATGAAATGAATGCCCAACTTATTGTGCGGGGAAAAATCAGAGCTTTCTCATGCGCGAAAAGTGGGAGGATTCATTGAAAAAGATGCAAGGTAAAAAAATCATGGTGGAAATTCCGCAACTTTCCAATTACTTTGGAGGTTGGATTTGAATTTCACCTTTTCGCACATCGTCTCATTTTTTTTAATTTGCCAAAAATTCCCACTCTGCGCGACTTTTCCCCGCATTCAATATGCGCTACCGATGGTGGCACATTATCGCACATTTTGCTCATCTGTACGCCTTTCTGGCGGTCCGCGGTGCCCCTTTGCTTGTGGTCTGACCTCCAATAGCACTCATTTGGATGTGTGTGCATCTAAAGACGCGGGCTCCAGCTCGGGAGTGGGATTATATTTAGTCAATGCACGGAAATTCTTGCCTTTTGAGGCCTCCACTCTCTGGGACTTTCCAAACAGCCGCCACACAAGCTAAAAAGTGTATTACAGTGAAATTCCCGTGGCGCATCATTCTTCAATTTTATTACACACTACTCATCGTCTCTATATTGGCTTCTTTGTGTGCCTTCAGCGCGATGTAATTAAACTTTATCCCTCTACGAAATTGTAGGCAAGTCAGGCGAGTTGAACAAAGGTAGAAATGAGTAAATATGAAATGTGACCATTTTCCCGCGAAGAGACGAACTGGCTGGTCGATCACAATTCAAACTAAAAGCTTTGTTATGCTAATTTCTTCATTTCTCATTGCGCGTTGCTAGAAAGTAATTTTCAGAAAAACTTTTATTCAATGGAAGAAAAATACATAAAAATTTTTTTTAATGATTTGAACAACACTTGGCATGGAGTCAAAGGTCAACTGGGTCATGTCGAAGTGAAAGAGTGATGTCACAGAAAATATTTTATGTTTTCATTAATTCGAATTGAGTATCGTGCGATTGAAGCACGTTCTTTCCACAGGAGAATTTATTTTGCGCGAAGTAGGGTAGAATTTGACAATTTTTCAAAAATGAACACACTTTGCGGTTTAGACTTTGGATGCCTGTGGTTACACATTTCCAACACAGTCACTCATTCAGCAGACATTCAGTCCGAGTCTTCTCGGAAATCCGTGTACCCACGGTGTGGATTTTTGCGAAATGTTACCAGGAAATTGATGGCAAAATGGGATTTCACGAGGGATTTCATGACAAAAATCACGTTCCTTTTTGGCGGGAAAATACAATGCGCGTCTGCCCTCCAGCGGTGGACTTTTTCCCTTTCTGTAGAAAAATTCCCACCACAGGTTATTCACCACACACGCACACACTCTCACGGAGCGCACGCTTCCACGCCACTTCGGGTGAAGTCGCACGACGAAAACTTTCAATTGTCAGTTCTCGAGGTGATGTTGAGTGGAAAAGACGTGTTTTTGCGCTGAGACGTAGTATTTTTTGTACATTCTCTGCTTGCAATTTGTGTGCTCACGATACGACATTCTTATGTACGACATCGGAGTAATTATGTTATTGAATCACAGCAGAGGATCGTGTGTTATCAATATTCCGCTTGATAGTGTTGTGCAATAGATATTCCCCACTCTGGGAGGCCACTGAAATCTCAAGTGGAAAGTTTCACAGCGGATTCGCCATCTTGTGAATACTTGGGACTTTTAATATAAAATAACAATTTTCCTCGTGTGGGATTTTCACCGTCTGGCATTCTCGCAGCACAAGTGTCGTGTGTTGTGTGGCGAGCAGCTCTTAGATATTCTTGTTCTTGTGGCGGGGCTGCAGGAGAGAGAGACTTTCTTTTGTTGTGTTGCTAAAACTGAGAGATAAATTGGCGAACTTGTTCATTCAACATGTGGGATCCGAAGGCGACGACGAGTGAGGCACAGGAGAGGAAAAACCTGGACAAGCATTGCGACTTTGAGGTGTCCCAAGGCGGAGATTCGGGCTTTATGTCATCCGAACAGTGCATGTCTCTGAGTGAGATACAGAGCGACGAGGGCAAAGGCTCCAACATCAGCAGCGCGCCAGACAACGCTTCGAGGAGCCAACAGCAGGACAACAGGCCCAGCCAGAAGATCAGCAACACGTGCAGCGCCCTCGACTCGGGCGTCATCTCAGACAGCGGGCTCGTGTCATCCGGACAAATGCTGCTGGACCGCGAGGTGAACGACAACGTGTCGGAGTGGTTCTGCAATCTGAGCCTCAGCCAGCCCGTGAACAACCTGAGTGGGCAGAAGAGTGCCAAGAGGGCGATCGATCCAAAGCCACAGACATGCGACATTGTACCTGCCGTCCAGGAGCCATGGGAGATGTACTATCTCCAAAATGCAGATGGTGACACGTAAGTCTCTCGCATGTGCTTTAGTAGAAGCTTCGGTACACCAATTGCGATATGAGTGTCCTGATAAGCCAGGCAACAGTCATTAAAGTCATAATTTTTTAAGGTACTTAAGTCTTCAACAGACAGATTGACTTAACGAGAAATCCTAGTGATTCACGACGAGTCTTGGAAGAGTGACGGTTGCTCTGATCAAAGACTGTGATCAGGTTTTTCCGATCGTCGATCTTAGGCTGAGAACAGTTGATTTTTTTTTTTTTTGGAAACACTACGATCAAACCACGTGGCAGGCTCTGTGAGAATAGTTTAATGAATTGTCTGAGTCACGATACACTGAGCGCTCTTGTCTATGATCGCGATAAAAAGACGTAAAGACCCACAATGTCAAACAACTAAGAGATGAATATAATCGAAAGATGTTGAATCACTGGAGTTTCCAAGTGCCAATTAGCATTTTTTTATGTAAGAAAATGTCTCAATAGAGTCCTTCATGCAGGATTTTCCAATGATCACGACGCCCTTGGTGTGTCTTTGCGTTTGAATATGTTTTTATGACTCTTGCCATTGTCTCTATTTCTTGGGAAGGGTGCACCTCAATTCTCTTGTGTCAGTCGATCCTATGAGTTGATAACACCTTCACTTTCTCCAGACACCTGCACTTGGCCATACTGGATGGATACGAGGACGTGGCGCGAGCTCTCATCAGAATGAATCCCTACCCTTGTCTGCTGGACATTCAGAATGACTTCTTCCAGACTCCACTGCATCTGGCCGTCATCACAGGACAGCACACAACGGTGCGAAACCTCATTTTGGCCGGCGCTGAGGTAAGATTTCATCTAAGATTTCATTAAGACTCCAGTTTCACTCTGGCTTGTGGGCGATTTGCGCGGGGTGTGTGGGTGGAAAGTATTTTTCTCTCTCAATCCAACGTCTTTGTTAAATTGCGATAATGAGGTATGAACACGATGCCTGGAAAATCCATACATTGTGAAACATTCAAATTGTTTTTCATCACACAGCATCGCAACAGTTTTTGCGCCATAGTTTTGAAAACCGCAATCGCGGTAATTGCCGATGAGATGAAGTGCCAACAACTGTAGGCCTAGACTGTATGTAGAGTTGTTGGGAGGATTTTGTAGAGAGAGCGCAGCTCTGTGACCATACATTTCGCGTTTCCCCTATCGTAATGTATTAAATTGTGGAAAGTCCGCAAGGCGAGAGAGACAGCTTGAGAGGTATTTGCACGACGAAACACCATTTGAGGTGATTATGAATGATATCAGCAATTTTTACACAACGGCTATTATTGTGCGAAACACCATCTCGCTGGGATATTCCCACAATATACCTCAATACTACTTTATAGACGCAGTAATATTGGTGGCGAGCGCAATTTATGCTTTTTTTCTCTCTGTCTCTTGACTTTTCTGTACTTGGACCGCAATTTCTTCGTCGGGGGCAGATAGTTTTGTTTTTTTTTACGAGTCTCACCTTCAAAAAATCTCTCCACGCACTTTGGGCACTGACATGTAATTTTTTCTCCCTCATCTCCATAAGGAAATGGGGAATTTTGCGAATTTTTGCGTGGGAGGTGTGTGTGAATACAATGCGGGGAAAATAAAAGTTTCCGTAACGCTTTTTGTACTCACTGAATTTCGTTTGTTCCATGAGTGCAAATTAACCCATCAATATCCAATTTCATGCTAAGTAAATGCTGTATTTATCATCTGTTGCCATATGGGAAAGATGACGAAACGACTGATTTGCAAGTAAATGTGGTCAGTACAGACGATTGACGTATTGGGAATTGATGTGACGTCTTGCCATTAAAGCTAATAATTAAAAATTATTGAAATGCAGTCGCTGCAGACGTAAAGAGTTTAATTGCATTTCCAGTTCTATCAAGAATGAATGATCTGCACACTTAATGAGCAAGTGCAAAGTTGAATGCAAGATTGCTTCTCTGCATAAATGAGAATCATCTAGAACATCATGCTATTTTCGTCTTAGAATGCTGACCTTTTATCCAAGTTAATAATCTGTTGAAAGCGCGAATAGAGTCTGTAGATGATTAGATTCAAGCTTTACAATTAAAGGAATTGTAAAGAAACAGTGCGTGGGCAAAAGTGTTTGAAAAGAACGAAAGAAATTTAAAAATCCTAGTCGAATCCTTTGTTGTCGCGAGAGAAGCATCAACAAGAACAAATCCCTGGGCGAAGAATTGGTTTAAAGGCTCACAAAATGGACTTAGCAGACTTGGGAAAACACAGACACACGGAGGGAAGAAAAAAGATTAAAGAATCTCGGCAGAAGATTTATACATGAATTTTTAATGGATCGCTTAATGAGATTATGGAAGAAACGTGCCTAGGGGGAATATTTAATAATGGGTTAAAACACAGAGCAGAGATTGGCAAAGACTATCTCATGACATTATATTTTGCATTGATGTATGCGAAGAATGCAGAGGTGTAGTCGTGTTGGGATTGTTTTCATACAAAACCAGATCAACCTGTTGACAAGTCTGGGAAATACCCAGAAAGTTGGAGCTCTTCTTCCTTCCCTTCGGCCGCGCTGTTGTGCGTGGCGTGATGATGTCTGTGATATTGAAATTTTTGCAAAATGTATTCAACTGAGCAGAAATTTCACTTAATCATTTTCACTTTGGGGATTTCTGATGTCTGGAAAAAACAAGTATAATTAATAAAATGCAAGAAGAGCTTTTGCGCGTGAGACAGTAAATGCAATGAGAGGGAGAAAGAGATGAGATATTCTCGAGATTATTCTTTCCGCATGTGTGAGAAAACAGTGTAGAATGACGCTGGGTTTGACGTAGATAGAAATTTTCATATGACGGAGGAAAACTCAGAGTCTCTCAAAAATTCCACGGCTGAGAAAATTATATTTATAGCCCAGCGAAATGAGTGAAATACTCTGTTTTGGGGCTTTTGTGTGAGTGTGTTTCAAAATTAGCTGAAATTTTTCGAATTGAATAACACTTTTCCATTGGCAGTGTTTGTGTGAATTTTCACACGATGTTGGAGACTTGATTTTCCTTGATGTTTGGGTGGATATTTTTAGTGTTTCTATAATTGGGATGAGAGATAGAGAATAGGCAAATTGGTTCTTTACTTTGCTTTTTAGAAAATTTTTGGTCCAAGATATTTTTGCACAGACACTTAATTCCTTTGTAATTATTTATAGACCCAGAGAGGATTTCGGAAGTTGGATCTTTTTTTGCACATCATGTGGCTAATTTTAATGCTTCTTCTTTCAGCCCACCATTCGGGACTACAAGGGAAATACTCCGCTGCACCTGGCCTGCGAGAAGGGTGACTTGGGGTGTGTTCGCGCCCTGACTGTGCCAATTGCATTGACTGAAATCCAAGATGTGTTCCGAGCAAACAGCACATTCACAGACAGTAGCAGTAAGAAGAAAAGGAATTCACCGTGTATTCAACTTCCTGGCGATTTGGATATGAGAAATTACGATGGTGAGTAGTATTTTTCTTTTCCATGGAAATTACACACACGCGAGTCCATCGATTGCCTGGCCGCTGACCATGTGGAATATACGTCAAGTGTAAAATAGATTTTCTATTTTTGGCATCCTTTGTCCTGCGCAACTCACAGGAAATTCAAAGCCATATTTTCCAACCCCCTTTCTCGTACAATTTTCCGTGCTCCTCCTGACGTTCTTCCACTTGAGCGTGATATTTCTGTACTTTCCCACACAAATTGCCCAAGTATGAGTGCATGTCGTGTGTTCGCCTGGGTGAGAAAGTGGAAAATTCAACAAGAGAAATCGATTTTTCCCTCCTGGCTATTTTTGGTATTTCCACGAATTTTCCATAGTGGCTGGAAATTGCGGGTCATTGCTTGGTATGGGCCGGAAAGTGTGATTATGATCAGAATTTATATGTGATACATATTTAGAAGCGTTGCGAGTGAAATTTTTGATTAATGCTCTCTTCCTTCTTCAATTCGTTTTCGCCCACTTTTTCTCTTTTATCTCCTCTTCTCATCAAGTGTAAAAGCAACCGCTTGTCTGAGGACGGGGAAATCCCAGAGAAGAAGACACGAAAGAATTACACACAGTTATGGGTTATTAAATGATGGCTAAAAGAAGACTTTTTACTTTGGGGAAATTTTGAATTTAATTTCCGAGCGAAAAAACCTGTTACATTTTTTTTCTTACTCTTCGAGTGTACAATTTAGCATCTTGTGATATTTAATACATGAATATATTTTGCCACATCTGTTCAGGTGAACAGCAGAATTGGAGAATAATCAAAAATATACTGTCAAGGTGCTTCCGGTAAATTCTGCTTATTATTGGTGAATTTTTTCTGGCACTCGTCTTGAGATACACACAGCTTCTCTGTAGCGTGCTGTTCGTGATTGATTTTTTGGAATTTTTCCATCATTTGAATAGCGAATTGAAATGGCAATTGTGTGCCATTGATTGTATTTTTTTTATTTCCTCTCACAACCTTCCTATAAATGTGTGTGCAGATTTTTTCCAAACATCTGTACGGTCTGTAAGTGCTCAAGAACGCATAGAAACAGGACAGAAGTAAAAAAAAATAGTCAGTCAATGCTTTGTGGAAATATAGAAATTGTGCTGATTTTTTGTTGTGCTGCAAGTGCTTGATAAAAAGTCACTAGTATAAAATTATACTGTGTAGACAGACTTTAGGCATTGTGTGTGAGAGGGAAGAGACGCGATCCGTTCTCTTTCTTGAGCATGTTTTAATTGCATTGTGACTGTGTGTAGCGTTGGAGGCGAAATATATACAGAAAATTTTTGGGTTTTCCCAGCATTTTGCCTGGCATTTTATACCGAATGAACAGCGCGCAAGCAAAAGAGCTTTCAGAGCGACGAGAATGTGGATATACACAGACACAAGCTTGTGAAACTAATGGAATTTACAATACACACAGATGTTTGAAAATAGCATGAAAATGTAGTGTATGTGGCGTGGAATGAAATAAAAAGAGACTCTTTAATTATGTGGCGATGCAATAAATATGGAGGAAGGAGAAAGACTATAAAATTGAGGTGTTGTAGACAGAAATCCACATTTACAATGCCTTAATGAAGAAAGGAGAAATCATTCTTTTTTTGGGGTGGAAGATGATATAAATAGAATTCAATTGCATCAGTCATTGATTGTTTATCTGGAAGAAATATTAAGAGATGATTTATAATTGCCAATTGCTTATCGCTTGAAGTCTTTGTTTGATGAAATGAATGAGTTCTGCGAACAAAATTTTTCTCATTATCGCGAAGAAGTGATTTTAATCGCAATGTAATCTATTAATAAACCTCCCAGTTTTCCATATTTTGAGACTTTAAGTCGTCTGGGCATAATCTTGTTGAGGAAAACACTGTCTCTTCATCACCTTTTTCATTCAGAGAAAACTGTGTGAATTTTCTCAGTATGGATTGTCACGCGATTTTCCATCATCTCATGGCAGTTTCTTGGCAACGTGCGCATGCCAGACGGCAAATGGCTAAATATGAAAATTCACCAAATGCAAGAATATTCTCACAGTCTCTCCTTGTTTTAATAGTGTGGAGGAAAAAATAGACATGCAAAAGCATGTGACTGGCGAGGCTGATGACATAGAAATTCCTTCTTGGTGATTTGTATTTGTCTTTTTGAGACGTCTGCATGTCTATTTAGGATGGCTTATAAAGGCTGTGCGTGTCGCGATAGAAGTAAATTGAATATAATTTTCGTAATGTACCGCAAAAATGGTAAAACCCGAATTGTGTTCAATTTGGAATTACCAAAACGCGATTAATTGTAATGTCTTGTTGTCTCAAAGTATGTTCACATTTGTGGGGGGAAAAAAACTGTTGCCATGCAGAATTGTGAGTAATGTAAGGGAAAACACATGTTGTCAAGAGGAACTTGAGAGGATCACTTGGTAATCTATTTACCCAGAACCAATATGGTTTCGCAGTAATTAAGGAAAACTCAAAGATCAATCATTTAGCTGGTATTTGTTTCTAATTATTAAATCAAATGCAATTGTCTGGATGATGAGAAAGAAAATGTTGTGAGTGGAAAGATTGCAGGGTTTAATATTAATGCGTTCATACTAAGTCAACAGCGCAGATGGAGGGACAAGAAAAACCCAGTGGAAATTCCATATGTTTATTGTGTCTCTTTCTTGTTTTCTTTGGAAAGAATCTGCGACACATCACACGGAACTGTGTGCGACTTGTCATTTTGAGTAATTCTCCAATTTGGTCTAATTCTGCGAACTTATGAGTAAATCACCGCAAAAGAATGTTCCGTGATGAGAAGGGAACAAAAAGTTGTGAATTATAGGAAATGTCTATGAAATGAGTAATAATATTTTTAAAGTAATTTCCCATCATTCAATAGAAGGGCGGATTTCAGAAGAGGTTCTTTGCGTGAGGTTTATAGACGGCTCGGTGTTGAAATGATAAGGACGTATTTTCCGCTTTTTAGGTTTGGCTTTCTTTCCCATGAAACGGGGACATTTCGGAGAATCTAATCAGATTGCTCAGGTTTCAAAGGTTCACATTATCGATGTGTATATCACTTGAGAAATGTGTGCTTGATGTGTTGTCACTGGTGTGATGGTAAATTTTAATTATAAATTGGGAAATTCCTATTTGACTTGTCTTTTGAAAGTGTGTTTGTAAGCAGAGACATTGGCAATTTGGTGGCATTCTTTGCTGCTGGTCAGGGAAGTACAGACAATTGGGAAAAAAATGTGGCACAATTTAGCGATTTAGTAAAGTCCTGAAGTGGTGGATGGTTTTTTCAGCTCTTTGCACACAGTCTCCAATCCGAAATGAGGTTTCGCACTATCAGTGTGAACCACTTGAGAAAATGCTCTATGCCATGAATAGAATGGTTTCTTTTTTTCTCGGCTGATTTTGTGTAAGAGTGTGGGGAATTTTGGGTGTTTTGTGACTCCCATGAGGATGTTGTTTTTGAGGCCCGAAGAACGATAGTCAGAGAGGCCAAGATAGAGTCTCCAAGTGGCCTTGTTCGATGCCCTCTTTAGCATCGGAAAAACGGAAAGATCTCCGCGGTGAGTGATCTCTCTCTCTCGTTTTGTGTTACACCATCAGAATTTGCTGTAAAATCCCGGGAATTTCTACATTATATACCCACTTATTTTGCAATTTTAATCGATTCCACACACAAACCGCGATGCTTCTTTTTTTCCGCGCTCTACTGAAGTGAATTTCTCAGTCAGACAGGATGTTATGTTTTGCTAATTGCTCTGGCCTTTTCTCTCTATATCTACGGGGAGATCGAGATAAGAAAATCATCTCTAAAATATTGTCAATCACCCTTATGAATTTTTAATCTTCTCCAAAGCGCACAGTTAAATGCATGAAACGCAATTGGGAAATCCAATTTTTATTGTTAATGCCAAAGGCGGATTTTCTCTCTTTCACACACTAAGCGCGCGCTGGCACACATGAGTTCGTGGCAATTTGGCGGTGCGATAAGAGATAATGGATATTGTGTTTGTATGATCGCGACACTGCGATATCCAGTTGAAACTTGATGGAGGAATAAAAAATTCCTCCAGTAATCTCTTGGGCAGGCAAAGCACGCGGGGGTGATTTGTTTCTTTCACAAAAATCATCCACACAGGCAATGGTGTTGTGGGCGCTTGTGGTGTTTCACTGGACTTTCAATTGGACTTGCAAGTCAGCAGTGAAAAATTTATGAGGTCTCGTTCTCAAAATCAATTACCACAATGGGTGAGATTGGCTGATAAGATGGTGTGAAATCATTGATGAATTTCATCGCAATATTTCATTCGTTTTTTTTTTTCTATGCTTTGGAGCCACAAAAATACAAGAGAACACTCAACTTGAATGTGGAATTCTAATCTCGATGTGGCTAAAAATAATCTTCTCTGTATTGTCCAATACAGAATTTCCAAAATGTCACGACCTTGCGTGAAGTCATACGTTATAATAAGAATCAGTTTTATGACTTTAATGCTTCACACATGCTTGTCTTGATAAAGATTTACTCTTACTTTTCTTATAATTCAATTTTAAATTACACATTCAAAATAGACAGCGTACAATTTCAATATCTAGATAAGATTTATTGATGTTTTTTCTTCACCTTTTCATGCTTTGATATTGTGGGAAAGTGAATAAATTTATTGGGGAAAACAAAACTTCTACAGATTACATGTATACATTTGATCAAGACTTCCTAGTTGTAATGGATGAGATGAGAAGGTGTCATTATGCAATCATGCTGAAAGATCTTCTCTATTGACAATAAAATACAATTCAAGGTAAATGAAAAGTGCAAACGCTTAGAAATCAATTAGTCTAGAAGGGAGGGGTGAACTTTCAAGTGCAACTACAACAATAGACAGTTTGAGAGGGTTTCAATAAACGCTTTTATTAGTCAATTATATAATCTATCTCTATGGGAGAGGATTACAACAGCATTAGCATTAATAGCCTTCAATATCTGAATATTGTCGAAAGATTATACTTGACAGTGTCTTTTGAGGATACACTTCCTTTTTTCAAAGTGCGCGATCAAAGTCCGCATGTTTTTGCACGCTTTCAAATAGTTGATAGAAATCGATGCAGTTGTTTTCACTGCGATAGAGACTTGCCTGCGTGCAGGGCATTCCATTGACGTCCATTCGCGTGTGTATGAATTTATAATTTAGGGTAAAATTGAATAAATAAATATCATTTGTGCTCTCTATGAAATTTCTCTTTAATCCGCAATCGTGATCTTAGTTGATAGAGTATCATGTGGGGAAATTTGCATGACGTGCGACAAGAGACGATCGTGAATGCATTCAAGGAGATCATGATCTCAGAATTCTTCACAGTTTTCCAGGAACTTTGAGACTTACTTTGAGGAGGAGAGAGAGATCAGAATATGAGACACAATGATCTCATATTGAGTGATCATTTGTTTTGTTCACCTCACTTCATTTCTCAGCGTCTCAACTGGTGTCTCGCGACTGTGTTTGCGGAACTGAATTAAGGAATGTTATGATTGGGCTTACTGAGTGTGTGTATTTTATTGCAGAATTGCGATACGTGAATGCCTTCTGAGTTGTGTGCCTTCGAAAATGTGGGAGTGCGACGATGATATCAGAGAATCACATCAATATCAATCTCATATTCTTCTCTATGATAATGAGCTGCTCATATGATGTTGCTAAGACGCATATAAGAGAGGCTCTTTTGCGTGGATTTCTCCACACCCACCGTCAGAAATTTTTAGGTGTTAATGAAATTCGGAAGATGTCAAATTTTCTTGGGGATTTTCTGTCTGTGAAGTAAGCTTGAAGAGACTAGTTTTTTTTTCTCTCACTCTTCACACAAATATCCACTCTTTGGCCTCTTCAATAAAAATTTTTTAAAGAAAATATATACAATGTTCAGTGTGTTGATGATCAAGTTGAGAAGGAGATTCTGTATAAATGTATTCTATTGTGTTGAGATAAATTTTTCGTGATTGACATCACAGCGTAATTTCCCACAATGTCTGTGAAGTGAAACTGTTTCCTAAGAGAATATCTAAAGGTTAAGAATGTGCTTGATTCATCTTATAAATTCGTCTCTCGATGAACTTGTGTGATTTTTCTTCCTGCACAACTTGTTTTCGGCTATTCAATAATCTTGTTTTTCTTGGTTAATGTCATTTCAGGTGAAAATTGTGTTCATTTGGCTGCACGAGGAAAACACGTTGACATTCTTCGACATCTTGTGTGGTGTGGAGCTGATATCAATGCCGGGGTAAGTGAAATTTGCAGTGATTTAAGAGTAATGCATGACGAAATGGGCGGAGCATTTGCGTGGGCGGAGCTTAAGAGGCGTAGTAGAAAAAAGGATGTTTTCTAATTACACTTTCCACTTCTTCTTTCACAGGAGGGAAAAAGCGGTGAGACTCCACTTCACATAGCCGTGAGTCAAGAAGATGAGCGTCTTGTGAGCTTTCTGATAACGGAGTGTCCGAAAATCAATTTGGAGAAGTGCACATTTGGTGGCATGACGGCTTATCAATTTGCTGCAATCAACCGAAATCAGGTGAGTGTCAAATTGAGATTGATTGTTGTTCGAATGCAAATGACTAACGATATGATTTATCTCTTGAATGCAGATTTTAATGAGACATTTGGCCCACGGAGGAGCGGAACCACTGACACCGCCTGAGAGTGATTATGACTCAGAATCTGATTCCGATGACAGTCAGGTTAGCGATTAAATAGGCTCTAGAGATCATGCAATTTCTCACGCTATCACACATTACACAACACACACTCTCATACTATGTTCGATAAGTTAGCTACAAATCTGAATAATTTTAGGACAATCTAAGTCGCATTATTCACTAGAATTTTCTGTACAATTTCTATGTTTTAGTAGAATTGAGAAGGAAAAATGTTATGAATTTATCGAGAAACCCTCAATTACATTGGGATGGTTTTGCAAAAAGAAGAAAGGGGCTTCTCTGAATCTCTCTGTTCATGAGTTCGGGATGTAAGAAGAAAACACCATAATCACAAGACACGACAATCTGTTTAGCATTGCTTCTGTTCCATTTTCCGTAGGTGTGGTCTTGAGGAATGTTGTTTGATAACATGTCTTTCTACTATTTCTAGATGGTGGATCTTTTTGGATCACCTGGATACTTTCAGAAATTTAATGGGGCCAAAGCGATAAATGTTGCATAGAGACAAAGTGTGTGGGAGAGAGAGAGAGAGAGAGAGAGAGAGAGAAGTGCACAGTTTCTTCCTCTTTAGCTGAAACAATAGCGCTATGAAGGAAAGAAAGACGAAAAACTAGCAATCATGCTCATAATTAGCTCAAAAACACAATGATAAACATATTTTCTCCTCTCCAAGAGTGTTGGTTTTTCTTCTATTGAGAGAAAGTGGATGGAATGGGTGTGAAGAAATGCGATATGAGATGAAATGAAGAGTGTCTCTGAATTGTAGGATGAGGAAAAATGTTTTAGTAAATGTGAATATCATCATGTAATTTGTGTTTTAATCTTTGACTTAAAGAAAAATCCTTGAATAGATTTTAGAATCGGATAAAATAGTGAGAAATACAATTGTTGATTAAATGTTAAAATGAAGAATCCCAAGAAAGTGCCTTAAGATCGTAAATTATTTAGATGTGTAAATCATCTCATATTCGATAAATATTAGTTATGATTTCTCTATGTCTATTTGAAGAAGTTAATGGTTTAAAATTGTGTAAAATCTAAATGTCACAAAATGTATTCAAAGAATAGAGATAAAAATATGTAAATCAAACAAGTATTATTAAAGGAATTTTAACACGTTTCATGTCATAATTTTGTTTATTCATGTAAGGATAAAGTACAATTTTGCCATACTGAGAACGATGGTGTTTTATCATTAAAAAAAAAGTAATGAAAATTAACTAAAATGTAGACATTTCATGCCTAGAAATTAATTGTGAAGCTATAAAATGCTCTCCTCGCGAAGGGCAGAGGAATAAGACAGTGAAAAGCAAAAAGAATGAGAAAAGATATGAGAATATACATGTTTACTATATTATTTATTTATGCTAAGGTAGTTGATGTTAAAATAAATGTTCTTATTGAATAAATTTCGCGCATTTCTAATTCCAAAATGCAATATACTTAGCGTTTCTTTTCAATTTATGCTGAGAAGCCACTCAAATGTGGCAAAGTGGTGAAAAGTGGTGAGTATGCGCAACATTTGACAGGCGTTTCTAAATGTCAAAGTGTAAGTGGAGAAAACAATAATACTGTTTAATAAAAGTGTTTTTTTCCGCATTTCCAATCACATTATCACTGCAAGAGCATGACGGACGACATCAAGAGGTTCTTCAACGGCCTCCTGCACAAGTACTTCCTGAAATTACATCGTCAAAAAGGCAGAGAATGCCCAAAATCCTATCTCTTCCTTTTGTTTACGTTTTAGAGTCTCCGGATTGCATTGCATCGCAATCACGGATCGGGATGGAGTGCCTCTCGTGACTGTCACGGGTGAAAGAGTGCCTGAATTGGCGCTGAAAGCGACATTCCTGTCCACCTTCACAAATGCCACGGATCAAGCTAGCAAACTGGGTTTGGGGAAGAATAGAAACATTATCTGCATGTACTCCAACTATCAGGTAATGAAGTGGTGTTTCTGCTAGAGAATCCTGTACTGAAAACCTTGTTTTTTTTGGGGATATTGCAGATTGTCCAGATGAACAAACTCCCTCTTATTGTGACTTTTATCGGAAATCAAAATTGCAATGTGGGCCACATTCTAGCTATTGAGAATCAAATGGACACTTATCTGGATGACATCAAACTTGCTGTTACGGAGTCTTGATTGATAATTACGCTGTAAATGCGATTAAAGAATTTAAAGGCGAATTGTGTGTTTTTGTCCAGGAAGTTGATGTATAACCTCAAAGACGGCGTCGCCATCTCGTGACTGGGGCACGGAAATTCGAGCCCAGATGGTGGATTCATCGATTTGACCGACAAATCGATCAGTGGAGGTTATTTTTCTCACCATTGCAAGAGTGTGTACTTACGGGTCAGTGGGATCTCATTTTGTTCGTTTCCGACACGTGCTGAAAGTTCTGGGGCGCTCTCACGGGCTATCCGGTGGACTGGGAGCGCAATTTTGGTGGCAAACGACAGAATATTAAGTGTAGAATGTCGGGCGGTAGCGATTTTCCGTGGAAATGTGCAGGTTTGCTGGGAATTGTGGCTTTTTCACAAACTGCCTACATCGTGTACAAGTGGCTGAAGGAGTCTCGTGGAAATTCCTCAAATATCCACAAGGTCCTCTTCATGAATCCCCTCGTGTGCAGCCAGAAGTGTCGTGAAATCAATTGTCCGGGCACTCGCAGCATGACCACGAGCAATGTGTTTAAGGAAATCGCGAAAAAGATCGACAGTGCAAAATTTTCCATTGACTTGGCCATTTACGTTCTGACATGCATTGAAGTCGCCAACGCCCTCCGGAGGGCACAGGAGCGCCAAGTTCGGGTGCGCGTGGTCGCGGATAACTCATTGGCGTGCTCCACAGGCTCCCAGATTCCCGACCTGATGAAGAGTGCGTGCCAAAGTGACCCCAGAACATGTTGCATCACTCACTAATCTCCTTCTGTTTGTTCCTTTGCAGAGATTCCTGTGCTGCTGTACAACGGAGCTGACGGACTCATGCACCACAAGTTCTGCCTCATCGACGCCCCATCAGCGCCCGCTGGAGGAATGGATACAGTGTTTGGAGGAAGTGTGAATAGTGCAATAATGTGTGCTTCAAAGTGGTTTTGTGGCAAAAGTTCCCCGGAAAGTGAGCGAAATAGTATTCTCATCACGGGATCTCTCAACTGGACCCTCAGGGTGAGTCTCCACACCGCACAGAGTCTCAAATTCTGACCCATTTCTGAGATATTCCTGCTTTACTGATGGTGAATATTTCACTCATTTTCAGGGAGCGACATCCAACTTCGAGAACGTGATTATCACAACAAATGGTGATCTTATTCGTGATTTTCAGGCTGAATTCCAAAGGCTGTGGACACATTTGTCCGCAAACAGCTCATAAGACAAGTAAGTGTGGCGGAAGAGACTATTTTGGGTAATTTTCTCATGCACACGTTTTCTCAGCTCATTTTTCATTGTTCTCCAGTATTTTGCTACATAACCTCATTCGGAGACATTTCTTTTGACTTGTCATTCACTTGTTTAGAGGAACATGCAGAGGGCGCTGAAGTTTACATTTCGCATACCCTCTGGTGGGAAATAGTGGATTCAAAATGGAGTATGAAAAGGCGGGATAGAATTGCTTTTGAACTTATATTTTATGGATATGATATGAATTATAAATCATTTTCCTTTATTTGAAGAGTCTGAGGATATAAACTACCGCCAGGTCGTTGTACCTTAACTCATCTTGCTATCATTTGATATTTTTACATGATAAAATATATTGCAGAGACAGAGGAATATTAAAAACGTGCAAAAGTGTCGAGGCAATGATTTTGCCAGATAAATGTAAAATCTCATAATAAAAGAGGAATTAAAACGGCTCATGGGATAACTCATATAGGAAGATAATCATTTTTATTTATTACTCTTGTCTGGGTCGCAAGAAGAACGAAATGAGGAGGAATTATTGGCATTATTGATCGAAGAGCACAATTTCCGCGTGAAATATTTTCTCCCTCTTGGCTTTCTCCTGCTCATTTGATGGATTTTCACCCTCCTCTCGGTGCGTCACCGTTTGTGTAAGATGGAAGAAAAAAGGTGATGCAGGACAAAAAGGAGAGGAGAGAAATGCAAGAGTGAACAATGCAATTCTTGCAAATTTATTGTATTTCTTCGCCATGTGGTGCAGAAGAGATGTGAAAGGAAAAAGAAGAAGGCCAAAACTCAGTGTTGACAACTTTCACGTTGGAATTCAACGAATTCCGGTGAATTGCATGAAATCTTTTGGCCCGAGCGAAGATTGTAATAATGACTAATAGTGAGGGATTTACTTAATAGAAGCAATTTTCATCCACTGTGTAATCATGTTAATATTTTTGATCCGTAGTGAATTGGAAATAATTAAAAGCGGAGAAGAAGGAGAGATTCAAGAAATAGATTTTTGATTAATCTTTGCAATTATTATTTTCTTTTTACACTGAATCATTCGCTTGTGATGGTAGAATTTCGTAAAAACTCCTGCGTGAATTTAGGATTTTGTAAATATTCTCAATAGAACAGTCATTCCATAGCTGAATATTTGGGCATAAGTACAGTGGAAAAAAACATTTTCATGGCCTCTAATCAAAGTCCCTTTGCAATATTAATCGCGTCCGCTTTTATCCCTAAATTTTCAATCTCTAGAGTCAATATAAAAACAGATTCTCAGAAGAGGATTAAGAGTTTGGGATAAGAAATAATGGGTTGAATGTATAAAAAAAAATGATGAATTTCCTGGAATTCAATTACAAAATCAAATTTATTATTGTTTATTGCCCATTTCATCATTATCATCTCAATACAAGGTTTTTTTATGTCACGCCAAATGGATGGTGTTAAGTACTTTGAATTGTTACTAAAGACTTATCATATCATATAAAGTGTTACGGTAAAAATTGAATGTGCAATTTTTTCGGGCTGAATGTGAAAAGTGAGACATTAAATTTTATGGACTTTGCAGTGTCACTTTATTGGGGCGAAAAATCGTTTTGATCTCATTTGAGTGTGCAAATAATAAAGTTGACGAATTTCGCATTTTGGGCGTTCTTTTGAAATTGCGTGTTATCTGATGGGTTTTAGTTGATATTTACGAGGTCTAGTCTTGTGTGGATTTAGCATAACGAGAAATTCTCACGGGTTTTTGGGCTTGATCAGCAATATTTCACTGAGATTTCAGTGGCAAGAGCAATGAAATTTGGGGTGAAAGTGAAAGAAGAGGAAAATTAGGAGGGAGCGTGAGAGGCAAATTACATGGTCAGAAATTTCTCTTCTCCTTAAATCATTTCTCACATTATGCCGGCATTTTTTGCCGCCCGTGATCATTGGTGGCATTGACAGGCAAGGGAGGGAAATCGACAAAGGACGAAAGTGATCTTCTTCTCCAGCGGAAAGGAATCGCACGTGCTGCAAGACATTCTCTCGCCGCTCGTCGGTTTTCTACCCTTGATCAATGGGTGGGAAATTGTATTGTGTGCGATTTGGAGGGTCCTGCTGAGTTTGTGTCTTCGCAGGAGATCTTCGTCACGCGGAACTTTCTGGACCTTCTGGGAAGGGGATGATCTTCAACATTTCTCTCGCCCCTCTTTGGCAATGTCGCTGGCTTTATTTGAGGAAGCAATGCCAGATAATTTATCAACTTCACCGTGCAATTTAATAAATTGCATTAAATTTGCTATGCAATGTGTGGCATTTTTCAGGATCCACATTAAATTGATTTCACAGAGAGGCGCAAAGGAGAAATCCGTGTGGAAAGATATAAATTTCACGTTGATCGAGGAACTGAAAAAGGGATTTACACATCCAGCGAGAGGGTGAGAAGGGGAAAGTTTCTTATATCACCTTTTGGATAGTGTGTGTTTTTTTCCGAGGGTTTGTTTTGTGGTTGAAAACGTGAGACGGAAAAAAGGATTAGAAGGTTTGGAGATTTCTCTTCCTGAGACGCGAGCAATTTCACAAAGGAATTGCCTGAAGGGAGAGGCGAGTTGAAGGTTGCAGACAGAAAACCACTTGTAGGATTTTTCACAGTGAAATTCCGTGCCGAAATATCTGTCTCACAGACATTTGTATCCACACCTCGGGCATGGGGAGAGAAAGAGGAAGGCAAATTCATTTATCTTAGCCTTTGTTGTGCCATCGAAATTGTGTTTGTTTTATGGATCATGGTTGTGTTATTATAAATGCTTTACTGATGAGGGGATTCTTGGAAGAAGGATAAATTTTTCAGCTTTGCGCACACACCCCGAAAAATTTCCCTTTTTCGCCTTTCTTCCGACCAGATAATACTGGCAGATTATATTTTTCTCGTTGTTCCCCGGCACAAGGCGTCTTCAGTGACAAATTACGGTAAATTGACGTGATTAATAACGCACGAAGGATCGTCTAATCTCCAATTAAATATTGCACAAAGGTCGCGCAATGCATTTATCTGGTATTTTGATTTTCTCCGTGATATTTGCACAGTGCAATTCATACAAACTCCGCCCGAGACTTTCCGTCCTATTCAAATATTTGGACGATTTTGATATTTGTACTTTTGTGCAGTGTGTGTACTTCCTTTAAACGGAGCCTCACAGATGAATTCTTGATATGGAAGTTTAGGAATGTAATTTATTTAATTGAGCTAATTTTAATTTCTGGGTTATTGGCCCACTTTCGGTCTCTTTGCTTAAAACATGGGCGTAACAAAATATGGAAAGGAAAGATTCGTGTGCAAGAAATGAATTATATTCACCGCAATATTCTGTTTATGTTCTTTTCAGTCTTCATTTCTGCAAGAACAATGCATTTCTACTGCGTCTTTGTACATCTTGACAGTGTTCTTCTAAACACTGCTGTTTTAGGTCAATGATACTTAAAAAAAACAAAAAGTGATTTTAAGAGAAATCATTTATTGACATCCGCTCAAAACATCAGGTATCGTGGGCACTTCCCTGCGTCCGTGCCTGAAAAGCACACTTTCTCCATCTGCGACGCAAACTCGCGTCCTTTTTCTACCTGGAGAAGGAAGAGGCTAAGAATCTTGTCTTATTTTTTCTCCAACTCAAAAAGAAGTTAATGAAAAAAATGGTAATAATAGCAAGACAACAACAATGGAGAGAGAGACCGAAAAGATCCGGACACTTTTTGATGTGATTGTGTGTGAGTGTGGCAGATGTTTTGGGCTCTTTCATGGGGGCCACTCTTCTTCGTCTCCATCAAAACCACCACCCTTTTGCCTTCCTGCTGCCTTCTTCACTGTTTTTTTTTCGCCTCTTCTCGACTTGTGTTATATTTTTCTTACCTCTGAAGCGGCAGTCTGGCTAGGAGAGAGAGCGAGACGCAGAGTGTTATTGCATTTAGTGTTTGCAGGTAAAGAAAAAAAAATGTTGAGGGACGATTTCACTGTAAGCTTGCAGCTTGCAAAATTTTTCTGTGGACCTGTGACAAGATGAAAATCACAACAATAGAATGCAAGATGGTGAATTTTTTCTTCATGTCCCTCTTGGCTACTTCTTCTTGGCTGAACAACTTTCTTCTCTTGTGCATTGTGTGATCTATTTCTCTGTATTGATTGCTGAATACTTCTTACGTCTCATGTTTTTTTTCTCGGTCACCAGCTTACCACGTGAATTTCACTTTTATGTGACATCTGGAGGAGGTTCGATTCATTGGGGAAAAAATGCATTTGCAATTATTGTGTAATGTCTCTTTCTTCCATGGAATTCCTTCCTCTACCTTTGCCATCTACATAATGGCTCATTATGGGGGAATTCATTGGCTAGCGTGTGTGATCTATAATGAGAAAGACAGACTGGGCGGAATATTATGAACTTGAAGTGTCTCACTTTGTTCAATACCGTAATTTATGTGTGTGTTAATTTCTGTACTGTGTTTTTGTAGATCCCGAGGATCCTTCAATGTTATAAATGTCTCGAACTTAATGTCCCATGGCGCGTCTTTGAGGTGTTTGTCAATCATCATTTACTCTATATAAATCAATGCGTGTGCGAAGACAAAAAGTGGGCATAAAAGAGGAAATATGCCAATTTCTCAAGAAGGTCTTACTCTTGAAATGACAATTGCAACATAAAGAGTCGTAAAGTATGTTTGAAGTAGCAAATGATAAGGCCTTAATTACTCCTGGCGACGCCAAGATGGGTCATGAAGCACACACTCTATTTCCTTACCTATCCATGTCTGTGCTCACTGCAACATAAATTACAAAATCCTCATTCTCTGATGTTTTTAATATTGCTGTTACTTTTTTTTCTCTTCATTCCGCATCAATTGACAAAAGGACTGAATTTTAGAGGATGAAAATATATTGTTATTTCTCTTTCCGCCTTGTTTGCGTCCTTTCCTCCACGTGTTCAACAGGCGACAATTTACTTCATCATCTCACTCTGTGTGTGCACAAAAATTAAAAGAGGGGTGGATTTTAGTATAAAAAAAAGACACTAGAGATCGTCTTAGTGCCTGTAAAATCCAAAGTCTGCGTCTCGGGATTTGGGCGAAGGGACAAATGGAGGGGACGAAGGAGTGAGATGGGACGACAGTGTGATTTTTCCTCAATCTCCTCGTCCTCCGTTGGCAGGCACACGGATTTACACAATAGAAAATAAATTAGATCACATTTGATGTCCTTTGATGCCACCTTAAAGAGAGGGAAGTTGCAGGGATTTTGAGGCAAATGTGTGACTGAGTTACCCTCATGTCAAAGAAATGTTAAGTATTCTTCCTCCTAATGCTTCCCTTCTTCCTTGTTTTCCCATTCAGTGCTGGCTTTCTATGTCGCATTGCACCATTGGATTGTGCAAATCACGGGGTACTCATCAGGAAGATCTTGCTCATCGTAAAGTTTTTAC